CACTAACCCCACCCGTTGGGCACCGCCTTTCTTCGCTAACTCCGCCCCCTCACCAAACGGTTTCCCAATCTTAACAAAGCTTCCTATGGTCCCGCCCCTATTATTCCGCCCCGCGCATTCATGACTCCGCCCCACAATGGCCGCTAAGGCTCGCTCTTCCTTCTTCTCCTCCATTGGTCTGTCTACCTGTCACTCAATCCTCAATTCGCCCAGTACTAACTAGCCCGCCTCCGGTCCCGCCCCTCGGTTACCTGTAGCCGCAGGGGATCGAGGGCTGCGCCAGTCCCGCGGGGCAGGCTTTGAAGAGGCCTTCGAGTCAGAAAGAGGACGGGGCCTCGGCCCTCTCCTGCCGCTTCCAGGGCTGCCGCAAATAGCAGCGCTGTCTTTCCAGACCCTGGGCCGCCGAGCAGCAGCAAAGGCGGTCCAGCCTCAGCTGTATCCTCCTCCCCGGACCTTGCTGAGGTGCCTAGGTTTAGCACCCGCCTCAGCGTCTCCGCCATTCGTAAGATACTCCTGTCCAGTCAGCGGCCCTTTCCTGCCCTTAATCCCGCCCAAGCCGAGGTCTCATTGGTTACAATGCACTTAGCGTCTCCATTGGTCCATGGATCTGCCATCAAAGTTAGATCGGCCTTTACTGGCTCCTCCCCTGGTGAAGGGGCAAATAACAGTCTGAGGGAGGAGGTATAGAGGCGCTTGAAGGAGAGATTGCCCTTCCCTTGTGCGAGTCCGCTGAAGGAAGCAACGCGAATATTACTATTGTGAATTAATCAGCTAATTAGACACATACGAGGGTTGAGAGTTGGAGGAAGCAGGCCCGAATCACTGACACATTTCTTAAAGTCTCCTAGCCTCAGTCTGCTCACCTATAAAATGGAGCTCGTGATATCTCAGAGGACTATTGTGATGGGAATGTTGTCTGTGTGTGTTTCTGCTGATGTCACCCAATGACAACTGAGGAAGTGAGGGAGGGAGGCACTTGTATGCTTGTTTCTCCCTCTGCACCTTAGTATCTGCACAAGCTGTGTTGGAGGCTTGCAGGCTCAGGAACATTCACGTGCAAAACATCAGCAGCCGTCTCTGAGGGTCTGTGAGAAGAGGAATCTCAACCGGTTTCCTTATTGGCCTGGGGGCTCCTTGGGTTTTGCTTGGAATAAGTGGGGTGGGCATGACCATAGATCAAAGAAGCACCAGGAGAGACAAAAAGACAGGGGGTGGGAGACTAAGGGACAGCCAAGGCAGGGGACCTTGTTTGTCTTGTTCACTTAGGTGTCTCCAGCGCCCAGAACAGTGACTAGATGGTTGCAGATTTTCAATATATGCTTGTTAAATGAATGAGTGAAGAAAGGAAGATAGGATTTTTGAGAAACTGGGAGAGGAGAAACACGGTGAGTGGTTAAGTGAGGGTTGGCTGGGTCTCCTCACCCAGACCTCGCCCCAGAGCTGCCACTCACCCCTGTTGCCCTGGCAACTCTCTCCTGGTAACTTCAAAGTGGTGCTGTTGCCAGGAGACACAGGGGCGGGGTGGAACTGATATTTCCTGGGCTTTCTCTCTCCCTCTGGGGCCAGAAAACAGATCCGCCACATCCCGCAATACATCCACCCACACAGCTGGGCACCTCACACACCCCCCCTTACACACGTGTGCGCGCGCACACCCACACGCATCTCTGCCTATATTCCACTTTCAAAAGCCCCATCACCCACATGCTCACAGCCCTATCCTAACACAAAACATCCCATACACACTTTCTCTCACTCTTATGTCCCCACACTCCTTCCCTTGCACACACACAAGAACACACTCTGATACAACCATACCATTGCTATTACACACGCACACGCACACACCCAGACACATTTCCTTAGCTAATGTGACTGCAGCTCTTTACACACACACACACACACACACACACACACACACACACCACCGTGTTGCATTCCTTGTCAGAGGCATCACCTCAATCCCCCCGCAGCAGATGCACAACCATGATTCACCTCACTTCGCAACACTCCAAATGCACAAACACCCAGTAGTGACACGTATATCACGTCGTCGTGCAGTTACGTACACAAGAGCATGTCCAACACAGCCCCATTGCACTCACTATTCCCTTGCTGAGGGAACTCAGCTCCCAAATATCCCTGTGGCTCATTTTCCCACACCATTCAGGTCATGGTCAAATATCACCTCGTTACAGAGGCTTTCCCTGATCACCTGTGTAACATTGCACGCCCTACACTTTTTAACGGCTTCACCGTCTTTGTTTTCAAATAACTTATCATTTCCAATGTCTTGTTCTTCTTGCCTGTCTCCTCACTAGAATGTCAGCTCCACCAGGGAGGTTCTTTCTTTTGTTCACTGCTGGGCCCCCAGCTCCTAGAACAGTACTCAGCACACAGCAGGTGCTCATAAGTGTAGACTGAGTACGTTGGCAGAGATGCAGAGGTTTGGCATGTTTCTTGTACACACAGTACTTCTTTCTTTTCTCAGAAGCCTGTCTTCATATCCCGATGGAAGGACTTTTACCACAGAGAAGGTCCTGGGAGGGAGGACCAAAGGGTGAGGAGACTGGGGAGTAGATATCTCAGTCAGTCTGTGTTTCTCCCTTGTTTTTCAGCGTCACGTGATTAAATAATTCATTTAACAAAATTTTATTGAGGACCTACTGTGTGTCGGACCCTGTTTTAGGCCCTGGGGCTTCAGCAGTAAAAAGACAAAGAAGTCTCTGTCCTCGTGGACCTGACACCCTAGTGAGGGGGAAGATAATGGCCACTAAGCATAAAGAGGAGTTTAAGTAGTCTATGAGTGGATGATAAGTGTATGCAAAAAATTTTGCCCAGGGGGGGGGGGGGGAAAGCTGAAAGGACCAGTTGTTTGTTTCTTGCCATTTTAAAGAGGGTGGTGGAGGGGGCAGGTCTCAATGAGAAGGTGACGTTTGAGAAGAGGCTTGAAGGAGCTGAGAGAGTAAACCATGTAGAGCACGGAGGGAGAGCATTCCAAGTGGAGGCACCTGCAAGTGCAAAGGCCCTGAGACACTGGGAGCACTTTGACTTTTACCAGGATGCATGGGAACCAGCCATGAGAGGTTTTGAGCAGAGGTAGGTTGTGGTCTGACTTGCATGATAAACCAGAATTCAGTTTTGGTTGAGTTGAGTTTGAGATTCTGTGAAGCGTACAGGGCATGTCAACAAATCTTTTGAGTAAGTACATATACCTTGGTCTGGGTTTTCTACCTAAAATTATCCATCCTGGGATGGGGTGTGGACAAGGTAAGGTCGGCCGTCTCCACCCCCTCTAGCAGGCCCAAACACTTCTTTGTGTCCGGCGGCCTTCACTTTACCCTTTCTTAGCCAGCACTTGGTTTCAGAACCACGGACAGCGCTAGCTGGGTTGGCTGGAACGCTGTCCGCTGTGCTGAAGTTTTGCTTCTTTCCTGGCCCGTGTGGAGGTAGCTGTGTAACAGAAGGAACCAAGGTCTCAGGGGTGGGATCCCTGGAAATAGAAGCTCTGTTCGGTGAAGAAGAGGGCTCCGTGATTCTCTCTCTCCTCTGCCTTAAGCCCTCTCATGCCCCCATATAATTCCCCATGGCCCACAATCAGCCCTGCCGCCTACCCCACCTCCTCTCCTATCTGCCCCCTGCCTCGTTCAGCTCCAGCTGCACAGGTCTCCTCACTGGTCCCTGAACACAGGGGGTTGGTTTCCACCTCAGAGCTTTGGTGCTTGCTGTTCCCTCTGCCTCAAACGTTCCTTCCCCCCTGCCTATTTACATGGCTCTCTCCCTCCCTCTTCATGCTTTTGTTTGTTTATAAGCAGGCTTCACGCCCAGCATAGAGCCCAGCTCAGGGCCTGAACTCTTTATATCTACCTACCTATCTATATTTTATTTATTTTTTAACTAGTCTTCATGCTCAGTGCAGAGACCAACATGGGACCTGAACTCATGACCCTGAGATCAAGACCTGAGCTGAGATCAAGAGTCAGATGCTTATCCAACTCAGCCACTCAGGCTCCCCTTTATGCCTCTTTAAATTGCAAGCTCTGTTCCCATCCCAAAGGTGTCCATTGTCCTCTCTAGCTTGAATTTTCTCCTATCGCTTGTCAATATCTAATGTATCAGAGATCCCAAACCCTGACCTAAATCCTTGATCCTAGAATTTGGAATTCAGAATTCTTCAGATCTTTTTTGAAAGGTACTATGGTATAAATACTATGTATTGCATAACATCCTAGTGGGGCCTGGGATAACATCTCAAAATCAAACAATTTCCTTTATCTGCAATGAAACATGAGAATATTCAAATCAAAAGGCACCTGGGTGACTCAAATGATTAAGCCTCCAGTTCTCGATTTTGGCTCAGATCATGATCTCACAGTCCATGGGTTCAAGCCCCACATCGGGCTCTGCACTGATAGCATGGAGCCTGCTTGGGATTCTCTCTCTCCCTCTCTATTAAAAATAAATAAATAAACTTTATTTAAAAAAGAATATTCACATAAAGTTCAGTAAATAAAAGCTATAATAACTGTATGTCAGTAAAGGTCAGGCTTTGCCAAATGAGCTATGAAAGAAGTTTGGTTTTCAGACATTTTTGAAATTTGGAGTTGTGACTCTGTGTCTAGTGTATTTATCTTGTTGTCTGTCTCTCACATATTAGAATATTAGCTTCCTGATGGCAGAAATTTGTGTCTCTTCTGTTCACTGCTACAACCTCTGTGCCTAACTACACAGAACCTGGCACACAGTACCTGATCCATAGTGTTTGTTGAATGAATGAGTGAATGAGTGAGTGAATGAATGAATGAATGAATGAAATAAGGGGGGAAGGGAAGCAGATAACCCTTTCCTGGCTCCGGGATAACTCCATGGCCCGAATGGCCTGTCTGAAGCCCCTCAGACCTGCAGTGGGTTGTGGGGAGGTCTGTACCTCCATGCCCCTCCTACCCTCCTGGTTTCCACTGGGTCCTCAAGGGTTGGGTCTCAGCACAACCTCACAGTCAGAACCCTTGCTCTCATCCATGAATCCAGGTTTTGGCATGGGGGTCCTAGTGCCCTCACCCTATTCCCCAGGTCCTCTGCACCTGACCATAGTCAAAAACAGGCCAACTGCCTGGAGGAGGCGGTCGTGTGAGGCTGCTCACCATGTGTTTGTGTGCCTTACATGTGGCACTGTCTGCGTTTGACAGATGAAGAAACAAGAGAACGGAGAGGTTAATTAACTTTCTTGAAGTCACGCGACCAGGAAATGCTGAGCCAGGATTTAAACCCAAGCCGCTGGCTCAATGGCCCCACACTGCTTTTCCACATCCCTCTCAGATACGCTGTGACAATAAACCCTCGCCCAACCTCACCTACAGACCCACAATTAAAGTCTTCCACACCCCGACACCTGGGGGAGGAGGAAGGCAGGTGGCCAAACTTCTGTTACAAACAGGTCTTTATTAAAGATAAGGTGGGGGCAGGAAAGGGGGGCAGTATCTCCTCTGCCCACTGCCTTTGGCTGCCTGGGGCAGGGGAGCCCTCTCTGCTCCACCCATGCCCCCCATGATGGCACATCTGCATGAGGCTGGAGCCCGGGGTGGGGGGCAGTGTAAAGAACAGGGACAGACTCCAAGGCAAAAAAAGTCCCTCCCACAGCCCTAATAACAGAGGGGTTTGAGGTGACCTGGGCACAGACAAGGGGAGAGACAGCACCCTGAACCCCAAAACCTCTGAACTGGGGCAAGCCCTGTGTAAGTTGGGAGTTAGGAGGGACTGAGTGAGAGGTTGCACATGGGGGAGGGGCTGAGAGAGGAAGGGGTGCTCCAAGAACCCTGCCACGGGGGAGCCTGCCCCCCATTCTCCAGCTGGACTCTCTGATTCTGAGAGAGGACCCAATGACACAGGATGACCCCATCTCCCTCCTCTCCTCTACACATGCTTAGACATTGGCGGTCCCCCATTGACTGGAATCATACCCACCCATCCTAGAAGTTCTGAAAACCAAGGACTCCTATTGGTTGTTCAGACACTGAACACAAACTGGAGTTACCCTCTTGCCTGAGGATTCTAAGACGTGAGGGGAGGCTCCATTGGCTGGAGTAAACTCCTTTTGAGTAGAAGTTTTAGAACTGGGGACTCCCATTGGCTCAGCAATGGCCAATGGGGTCAGGTTTGGGCCCTAAAAGAGCCATCCTGGGGGCAAGGGCCCACCTCCCAGTTATGCCCACTTGGATGTTCCAGAGGGCAAGAGAGGCAGGGGCCCCCCAAATGTCCTTCCAGCCAGCCTCTAACATCTAGGCCTGGCTGGTTTGTGCACAGGGGGCTTTGGCACTCACATGGCACACGCACACTCACGTGTGGCAGGGAAGGAATGGGGACCTGGAAGATTCTGGGTGGGTGGTGGGGCCTCACAACAGGTGGTCACGGCTGGCAAACAGGTAAGGGCTGAAGTTGTCCCGGTGGAAGGGGGAGGGATAGAGTCCACTAAGGGTGTACAGGTCCCGAAGCAGGGGTGTGGGCAGAAGCAGCTTCCGACCACGTCCACCACCCCCACCCGGCCCCCCAGGCCCAGGGGAGGAGGGTGAGGGGCCCTGGCTGGGGGTTGGTGCTGGCAGGGGCAGGGGCAGAGGCAGGGGCGTCGGCTCAGACCTCAATCGAGGGCGGGGCACACGGGGCGACGAACACATGGCTGGAGCCCTGGAGGACACGCAGCTGGGGATCAGGTGGCCACGGCGGGCACAGTTCTGCGACTCTGGGGGTCAGGGTCAGAGGTCAGGGGATCAGAAAGCTTGGGAGGGGGCCACGAGAGCATAGGCGAGACCTCTGTGGCAGTGACTGGGACCTGGCAGTCCCCCCGGTTATCCCCCCACCCCCTCGACACTCACTGGATGGGGTGAGCCGTGCCGGTGTCGAATGCGGCCTGCAGGCCTCGGGTTCCTGAGACAAAGAGGCAGAGGGAAGGGGCTAGCGGCCCCCTGGGCCCCACCGGCCACAGCCATGAGGGGCTCTTTGGGCAGAGAGCCCAATGGAAAAGACAACTAGAGTTTTCCAGATTAACCATGACACATTCTTCTATTTTGTGTGACTGTCCCCCAGGACCTAGGTCCACAAAGACGAGCAATTCCTTTATCTCCCTGTGGCCCAGAGACCCCCACCTCTTGCCCGAATTCCTTGCCTCCTTGGTCCCCCTCCACCCACCACCCTCTCCAGCCGGGAGCAGACCCCGGCCCCCCTTACCTGGGCCACACTTAACTTTTCGAGGGGGCTGTCCATGGTGGGGGCTTGGCCCAGGTCTTCCCAGGGGGAGAACCTTCGGCCAGAGGGCCGCCGGCTCTGGAAGTTGTGTACAACGCAGGTGACCTGGGGCAGAGGGAGAGGTGCATTCGAAGCCTGAAGCCAATATGTAGGCATTGTGTAAATACCATCCCCAGTTTTCAGATCGGGAAACTGAGGCTCAGTTAACCTCAGTTAACATTTTAGCAGTACATTTATGTGCCAGGCCCTGTTCTTTCTACTTTACTAAGAGGTAGGTACTATTATTATTTATCCCACAGGGCCACGACTCGGGCGAGACAAATAAAGCTAAGTCGTGCAAGGACAGGATCTGATCCTGTCTTTAAGTTTTCGATGCTTGGGACATGTGTTTTTGCACTCATTGTGATTTTTAAAAATATTTCATTAAGACATTATCTTCCTTGATTACTGAGTGTTTTGGTGCCCCCTTAAATTCTGCATTCATAGCGAGGACCTCACTCTACTTACCCTCGTCCTGTTATCCCATTTCACAGATGAGAAGAACATCTAGGCAGGGTGAGGGTAAGGGACTTGCCCAAGGTCACAACAGAGGCCACACCCTTCACTATCATGTGGTCCTGCTTCTTGGGTCAGAGCTGACAGAGGGTCTCCCGTATCGGGATGGATGGATGGCTCACCAGAAAGGTTGCGATGGCAGCGCCTGTCAGGAAGCCGGCCAGCACGTCAGACCAGTGGTTGCGGTACTCGGCCACGCGGACCACGCCCACCAGGAAGGCGGGGCACAGCAGGGCCAGGCAGAGCGAGGGTTTGACCAGGCGGGAGCCCTTCACTCGGAACACAAGCGTCACGTACATCTGCAGGAGCCAACCAGTCAGGGGACACAGTGCAGTTTGCCGAACCCGGATACGGCATTCCGGGCTGGGGGGCGTGGCCAGAATCTCTAGGAACGGGCGTTGGGGCAAGAGGCTGCGGCCAGGGGCTCCAGGGAACAGAATCAGGGGAACGGGAGTTCGGGAATGGAGTCGTGAACTCCCAGTGGGCCCTTGGAGGGATGGGGGAGTGGCCAGGGCACCAAAGAGCAGAGGACAGAGTCTGGGGCCCAGGTCTCCCCAGGACCAGTCAGAGACAGGGGAAGACGCTTGCTAGGTTAACACAAAGCTTCAGGCCCAAAGGGTGTAGTCAAGGCTCAGGGGGCAGGTCCAAGAACTCCAGGAGGTGGAATCCCCAAAGCCCCGGACCACTGACAAGACTAGAAGCTAGTCATGAACACCAGAAAAAGGAGTCAAAGCAACAGGAGGTGCGAACCAGGGAAAAGCAGGGGACAAAGGAAGTCCCAGTGGGTCAAGTCAGGGACATGGCCACATCAACAAAGGGCAAGGACAAAAAGGCTCCAGGGGACCAAGTTGAAAGCACCTCTGTCCAGTCTCCCAGCCAGTATCTAGCACCTGTAGCATCATGGGGACATGGCTAGGTTCCCGGAAACGGAGTCCAGTGTTCCAGGAACAGCGTTTTGGTCCCGCAGGGCGGAGCCAACGGCCTCCTTTGAGTACAGCGTTCCTGGGTCAGGCAGCGTGGCCAGACCCAAAAGGGGCAGTCACGAACACAGCAATAAGCTCAGACTCTGGGACCGGCCATCCAGAGGGGTGGGGCCACCCTAGGGACCGTGTCACAGCACCGGGGCATGACCTTACCCTGGGAAGGAATCAGAGGCTCCAGCCCAGGGTGGCCTCCTGCCCACTGGCCGCCCCCCCCCCCACTTTTGTGCCCCTATTTTGGGGCTCACCGCTGTGTAGGTGACCGCGTAGGCGCAAAGGGCAGCATCCTTGCAGGGGAAGGCACGGCGCGCAGCGGCCACCAGGCTGGGGCTGCCGGCACAGGCACCCTGGTCGGTGACGAAGCGGTCGGGCCCCGGCCTGTCGGGCGAAGGCGGTGGGCAGCCCAGGGCCGTGTAGTTGGGGCGACACACGGACAGGAAGTGCGGTGTGGGGTTTCCGGTCACCACCTGCCCAGCGTTGGCGAAGATGGTTGTGGTGAAGAGGCCGAAAGAGTAGACCCCTGGGGGTGGGGTGGGAGACAGGGTTCATGCTGGGCCCCTGAGATGCCAGGGGCCCGCCTCCTGCGAGCCCCTATGGCTCATCTGGGCGTCCTGTCTCCTTGCTGCTGCGACCGTCATTAAACCGCAGCTGAGAATCCCTCTAAAGCCACATCACATTACAGCTGGGCCAAGGTCCTCTTCCCTTGATGGCACTCTGAGCATCTTGCCTCTCTCTTGGATTGCTGCTGTATCAGGAGGGGGTCCGCCCCTGGGACCCCCATATATCCAGGCCCAGGACCCCTCAACAGCATTACATCAGGATTGGGCCTATGCCTGGAACCTCCTAGGACTATCCTGATGGCATTTCTGGGCCTTTCTGCACCTGTCCTGGACTCACTGAGTCGATCACTTTTTCCCCGGATGAACAATTAGCCAGAGCTGTATCTGTAGCCTTCTGTCACAGACGCCACCGTTTGGGATGAGCTCTGCCCCTCTCCTACATTTCTCCGCCACTTGTGGCTAGGATCGCCCTTAAAGCACAGTGGGATCTCACCGTCCTGTTCAGGGTGCGGTGGAAGGTGGGATGGTATTTGGGCTGGGCCTGTGTCCCCCTTTTTTGCCTTGAGATTCTCCCTGTAGCAATCTGGGAGCCCTCCCGGTTGCCATCATGGTTGGCTTAGGCCCCACCCACGTCCCTAGAACCTCCATCATGCCTGGCCTCAGCCCAAGTCCCCTTTTGCTCCAGGAAGTCACCGTCATGAGAGTTCTAGGCCCTCTGCCCTATAAACTTCTTATTATGGCTGAATCTGGCCCATGTTTCCTTTGCACAGCCGACCGGCCGGCCATGTCACTCACCCAGGAAGCGGACCAGCCTCCGCAGTGGGGGACTGAAGCGGCAGCAGGCCCCTGACACGATGGTGCTCTCCCCGATGATGGGGACGGCGGAGGGTGGCGCGGGGAAAAAGGCACGCGCCAGCTCCCCCAGCAGGATCTGTGGGCAAGATCAAGGCAGGGTCTTCCTGGCCTTCAAATCCAACCCTCCCCCCACCCCAACACCTCCACCTCGCCCTCCCGCTGCCTGGGCCTGCCCAAGGCTACCCCCAGTCTCACCGTGAGGGTGGGCCCAGCAGTGACTAGGGCATAGATGAGAGCAGGAGGCACTCGGCTGGCAGCCTCAGGCCCCGGGTAAGGCTTCGCATAGGTACTGTCATAGCAGAAGAACCCCTGGGTGTGCACGGGGAAGGTGTCCGTGAACTCCAGGCGGTAAGCGAGCAGGACCACGATGCCCAGAAGCACTGACTGCCACCCAGTCATGGCGGAGAGACAGAGAGAGAAGAGACAGGGTCAGGTCCAAGCTGGGGCCGTGGTGAGAGACAGAGATGGGGGGGGAGAGAGACAGAGAGATCAAGACTGAGAGAGATAAAAAGGGTGAGAGAGAGCGAGAGAGAGGTGGAGAATGGTCAGGGCCTGGCAGACACAAAAAGATGGAAACAGAAGTTGGGGGAGGTGGGAGAGGAGGGGAGGGGAAGGGAGAAGAGAAAGAGAAGGGACTCATAGAATGGGAAGGAAAGAGGAGATGAGATTAGGGAGAGCGAGAGTGAGGACTGGGCCAGGGCTCAGACCAGAGAGAAGGGTCAGTCGGTGGGGGGAGGACAGACCAACAGGGGAGAAGATAATAGTACAATTATCTATTGTAATTAGTTGTCATACATTATTGTCATACTAACCCTCATCCGTGAATTATAATACATTTTACCTTCATAACCACGCTAGGAGAAAGGGACTCTATGTGCCTATTTGACAGACAAGGAAACTGAGGCTCGAGAGCAGGGTATGCGAGGTACCCAGGGTTCTGCGGGAAGGATGGACAGAGCGGGATTCGAACTCTGGGAGTGTGGCTCCTGAACGCACCTCCTCCCCGCTGAGGGTCTGGGAGCGAGTCAGGGGGGCACGCAGGCGCAGGCAGAGAGTTCCCGGGTTCCTCACCTCCACGAAGACAAAGCAGGGAATGATGGAGAAACTCCTCTTCAGCTGAGGTCTCCCTCCTGCCATGGTGAAGGCCGGGCCTGCGGACGTGGGGAGGGAATGGGACGGCCAGGGCGGGGCCCAGGGGGAGGCTCTGGTCGCCTGGGCCCCTTAGGCCCCAACACTACCACAAAGGAGTCCCGGCTCCACCCACTGAGCCTCCTGGCCCGGACTCTGGACATCCAGGACGCTGCCCATCGGAGGCTCCGGCCTCCTCTGACCCAACCAGCGCTCAGCCTCTGCCAGGGATCCCAGAGGTTCTCCAGTGGTCTCCCCCGACAGCCCACGGAGGAGATTCAGACCCCATGCGTTTTAGGAGGGTCTTCCTCCTTACCCTGTAGGTCACCTCCCCTCAGCCTCTGGAAGAGGCTTCTTCTGCTTAATGGGACCCTTCCCCCACAGAGAAGGATCCATTTAGAAGGGATCTAGGCCCCCACTGGTTTTTAGGGGACCCCATCCTCTTTCTCCGTGTGCTTTATAAGGGACCCCCATGCTCCGTGGCCCCCGCCCCTCCCAGGCTCCTCCTCGAAACGCCTTCCCCCATGGCCCATAGGAGCCTCTCTCTCCTGTCCCCATGGGCTGTGCCTAACTAGTTTGGGCTGATGGCCAGGCCCTCCTTCTCTCCCAGCTGCCTCTCCCTCTCCCCCTCTTCCCAGCCTGTCTGCTTCTCTGGATCATGAGGGGGCTATCTTCTCCCAACAAGCCCCCTCTCCCCAATATGTAACCTCAGTCCCCAGCACGGAGGGGCCAACACAGCCACACCTGCTCGACCCATTCTCCCAGGCTGACCTCACCTGTGAAAAGGCCCTATGGCTTCCCACAGGCCTCCGCCACACCCACAGACTCACAGCCGCTCCTGGCGGCCAGCAGGACGGGGATGGTCAACCCCATTGCACAGAGGTGGAAACTGAGGCCCAGGAAGGTGAGGGTAGGCACTCTGGGTCCAGTGCCCCATCCACGCAGCTTGCTCTGCAGTGTGACATGTGGGGTAAGGGTCACCAGATATCTCAGATGCGCACCTGGCCACGGCCCCTCACCCTTCCAGAGACACGACCACACGTGCTGGCATCCCTAGGGTACACAACTCAGCCACAGCCTCCGTGGCCAACACCACACACACGGCACGGCGTTTGTCCATCCCACAAACAGGGATCCAGGGCCTGCCGGGTGTTAGGCATTTGGCTTGTGGTGAACAAGACGGGCCTGCTCATTCAGACAGGTGCCCAACACCCACTCGCACACAACGGTACACTCACACACACGGCACAGTGTGCACACGGCCTGTCACAGACACCCACACAGATCAAACAATCCCCCCCCCAACACACACACACAGACTCAGGGACACAAGAGGAGGCCCTTCACACATTTCGCAGCCCTGCATACAGCCCCACACAAGCGCTCACCCCCGCCCCCCATCGTCAGGGACATACTCGCAGCACACTTCGGAGCCACATCTGAAAGAGTCACCACACACAGCGGGGGTCATTGGCCGGGCACAGCGTCACGCCCCCAATTGCCAGGCACTCAATGACAGCCACGCACATTAACCATCTCTCATCCACGCGGACACTCATAGGAGACGATGTCATCCACCAGCTCAGCCACACGGCTACACAAGGGCACATATACGGACCGTGACACGGATTTGCACGCCGAGCCACACAAGAGAGGCGCGTGATCACCGCCACACTGAAACATAGAAATGGGCCCCCCCACACCATCAGGAGGAACACACAATGGCAGTCATGTGCACACAACCACACAGCCACACACACCCTCAGAGTGATACCCCGTGATGACAGCCACACAACGACAGCCCCAAGAGACAGTCACACGCGCGCCACACAGGCATCGCCAAAGCCACACAATTGCAGTTACACAACCACACACTGATACAGAATGACAACCACACAATCACAGTCACCCTCACCACCGCCGCTTGGCTTCTCGGGTCCAGGGTCCCCTCTCCACGCTCCCCTCCCCGAACCCGGTCCGCGAGCCCCAGCTCACTGCCTCCCCTCCCCCTCCCTGGGCTGGACCCACAGGGGACCCGAC